GTTCTAGTCTACAGTGGAGTTGTGTCTTAAGGCAGAGTTAGGTTTTCATATGATGGCATAGGCAAAACTTACATGCTGATAATACTACCTTTTAAAAATTATTTAAGCCAATCTGTGTAAGGTAAGTTTGATGTTACTAAGGTTGAGTAATAGTTGAACTAGTTGTGGAGTTGAACTCGCTCTAAATTCCTGTGTATCTATGTCTTTTATTTTAGCTATTTTTATTTTAACTCTTTCTAATTTGACTATGTTTTTAGTTTGACTATTTAAGTACATTATTACCTCTCCCCAGATTTAAAACAACAACAACAGAACATTTCTTCCTTGTAAATGAATTTCTGCATGCATGAAGCCAAAGTAAATTATAAGGGTTAAAGGTAAAAATGAGCAAATTTATATTAGATAAATGCAAACAAAATAAAGCTCCAAGTTACAACATTAATATCAGGCAAGAAAGAATCCAAGGAAAAAGAAAAGCGTTAAACTGGACAATGTGGTTATTTTGTTTAGCAGGTGAAGGATATTATACATGATGAAGTTTTACTAAATAACATTTTCATAAACCAAGTAGAATATCAAAGTTGATATGAAAAAAATTACAAACAAGGGGAAATGAGAAGAACACAATTATAAATGAGAGATTTAATACAACTTTCTTGCCTTTTAAAAGCAAGTAGACAAAATAAAGTATAGATAATCTAATATAATTAATTGCATTACTTTAAACATCTCTATATATCAGATTTTATAAGATGCAAAAAGGGAATAAGTCTCACAATTACTTATATCAGTGAGAGGTTCGGTTGTAGGAAATAGAGGTTGTTCTAGCTATTTTAAGCAGAAAGACATTTGACATAGGTAATTTAAAATCCTGGAAATGGATTTTCCAACCTATGGCTGGAAAGACAGGAGGAGTAGGCCCTGGGCCAATTCCCCAGGAATGATTCCCAGAATTACACAGCCAAGTAGGTCTGCCAGGTTGCTGCTACCTTTTCCATACTTAGGAAAGTGAACACTCAGATGAATACCACTAGAAAACTGTCAAGTTCAAGAACACATCCCTGGAACTGTGATCCAGAAAACAGGAAGCTGCCACCCACACCTCCCCGGCAAGTGATCTTGAAGTGAGGGACTAGATGTTGGAGTGAGGCTCTATATCTGTCCTTACGCCAGAAGCAAGAGGCAAAACAAAAAGTCATCCCCTACCTCACCTGCACTCCCAATATCGAAGGATGGAATGGGGGCATTTTCAGTGCAATCCAATTTACCTCTTGAGCTCTAATTGTCAGTAATAGATACTGACTGCCAAATTCACCAGTCCACCTCATCCATGATCCTGAAACTGGAACTTTTTAAACAATGGGTGTATATTGATACACAAATAATATTTATTAAGTGTTAAATTCAGTTTAAAAAGCTGAATTATGCAAATCGATGCCTCAAATTATGAATGAATAAGACTATTAATTAATTATATATATGTAAAGAAATAACAAATTCGAAGGTTGGAATTTAAAAGTTATCCTGAATATCAAAGTGAACCTGCAGGGCCTTTATACAATAATGACAATGAAATACTGTGTAATAACATTTTCAGAATGAGGCCAAAGGTATATGGAGTCACAAATACAACATAAAATTCTTCACTCTTACAGGAAAGACCTGAATTCAAGATCTCTGTGAAACCAGCTATGTCTAGTAACTTCGCCTGCAAATCAAACAATAAATGACATAGTTTCTATATATCAAATTTTCAGTTTTAAGAAACTATAATTTTCAGGGCCAACAGTGTGGTGATGATGACGTATTATACAGTCCCAGAAAAGTTACAAATTGGTGTAATTTTTCAAAGGGTAATTGGGCAATGTAAGTCAAAAGCCTTTAAAATATAAATCAATCTGATGCAACATTTTTATTTTGTAGCTCTTAATAAAGTAATTGGAAATTTGCATAAAGACATGGAATAGGTTAGTCAGCAAGCCAGTATAGCACTATTTAGCAAAATTGTCCAGTATTAGTGAAGGGTTAGATTAAATATGACAGAACTTTAATACTGTATGACTATTAAAAATAATTGCTTAGAAAAAGATTTAACGATGAAAAAATATTCATGATACATTATTTGGTAAATAAAGTGTTACAAAAACAGCATGTGTAGCAAAATTCAAATTTCTATATGCATTTATACATAGAAAATAACACTGGATGGTTAAATATAAACATATTAACAGCTTTTTAGTGGTTGGCATATCAGTCAAGATAGGTTACAGTGTGATTTGGAAACAAACACCACCAAATCCCAGTGGCTTAATACACGACAGTTTATTTATTTTCTCTCTCAAGGTCTGTTGAGGGTACAGGCAACTTTCCAAGGCAGCTGTCTTCCATGTGGGAGCTCAGAACCCCAGGCTAATTCAATCATGTGGCACTTCCATAACAAGTGCTTCCATGATTGCTGTGTCAGGGCAAGAGAGAGCCTATGAAATTTTACAGGCAGCTTTCTCCCTTAAATTTATATTTCATGCATAAGCAAGTATAAATGATGAGAAGTCTAAGTATCTCCAACAAAATACTTCACTTACCTTAAACAGTTGAAATTCTTGAATCATTTTAGCGCCTGAAAGTTACATTCTGATTCATTTCTTTCCTTGACAATAATGGGCCAATCTTGAACTTGCCGTTTATTCCCCCATAGTCTTTATTACTCCACCTAAAATGAGAAATAATTGCATCAAAGCCTTATAAAAATTCTGTGATATCTCATCAATAAATAACCTTGAAATGAGATGTAATACAAAGCTTAAAAGTATTTATGTTTTAGACTTCTTTGGACATATTTTTGCTTTCTGCTTTTCATAATGTTCATAAATGTTAAACAAAATGGGCTCAGGAGTAATTTTATAGATGGAAATCATATTATATATTCCAAGTGACTTGCCTTGGTTTTCCCCCATAGCTGCCATTATTGTGTCTTTTGTTGTTATCCTAAGTTTTACCACGGATGTTATGGGTTCCAACTTTTAAGCAGTTTGTATTGCCCAACATTGACTGGGAGCAGGGTCATATTTTCATCATGCTCCTCATCTTGTGTACAGCCTTCTGTTATCCCAGCTGCATTCTGTATCAAGGCTTGTTCTTGTGTAAAATAAAGTTGTGTTTCATCTTGAAGAACCAAATTTACTTCTATAGTAAACTTTAAAGCCAGAATCATGACTTTTTGTTAGAATTGGATTAATAGCTACTGGGCACCATATTTAGAAGATAACTGCAGTGGGGATACGGTATAATAAAGTAATAAATAATAGGTTAACATAGGTCCCTAAATTACTGGACCTGCATTAGAGACAGATCTTAGGTCTTTTCCTTTAGAATTGTGTCATCTCCAGGGTAAAAATGATGTGACCCAGGTGGGACTTTTGAAATGTGTTCTATAACTCGCTGCTAAGCAAACTGCTCATGTAGAGGTATCACAAACAAGTGACTTATTCAGAACAGGTGAAACAGGATAAATGATGAAAAAAGGTAGATAAAATTCTTTGAAAATAACATTATTTGTAGTATTAGCAATATGAGATATATGTGATTTCTTGATTCCTTCTCCACGTGGTTATAATCAAATCCAACTTTTCCCATTTCACATACAAAGTGAAGTTGGAAGTTGGGCTGGGCAGGGAATTTCAATTGGCTTTGACAGGTTGGAGTAATTTTCAATATGGCTCCAAGATAGTGGTTTTGCTTGGCTAATACATATTTTTCAATTTTGTCAATTGAGACAGAAATCCCAAACATTAGAAAAGTGTTTGAATACTGGCTGTTTCGTGCCAGGAAGGCACAATGACTTTGGTATACAATGTTAAGATGGTGAATTTTGCTAAATGCAATTGCAAACACATGTTCCATTGCAAAGCAGGCAATGAAGAACAAATTAAAAAATAAACAACCCAGAAATGGGTTTCAATAAGAAACACTGAATAACACCAAGGGTGTTTTTTAAAATTATAAAAGTGTGCAACTACTACAACTACTTTTTACTTTGCAAAGTTATTAATGAATCATATTGATTGCGCAGTTTCTATTTTTTAAAATAATTGAATCATGGAGATTGAATCATGAAAGCTTGTATCTTACAAACTTAGCCCTCTCTTTCTTAGTGAAGAAATTTTAAATACATAAGGAACTAATTTCAGGACTATTGCAATTTTAATTATTACAAATTATCTTTTCTAATTTTTTTTGGTCAGATCAGAATAGTATGGATTTTGAATGAAGATTATTACAAGACTAAAGAGAAAAGCATAATTAGAATGTGATCTCCAAAATAACATAAATTTTTAAAAATGCCACCACAATTCTGAAAGGGAAAATGGGTGGCATTTCAAAGTTTATTTCATAAATGGGGTTATGTTTTGTTCTCTATCCAATCGTTTTCATCACATTACTTCTTTCTTTGAAGTAATCCAGAGTCATTCTACATGCTAAAATATGAGACAATGATATATGAAATCCTTATTTAACAAACTTTCCGTGAGCAAAGTCATGCTTTCAAAATCTTGGTTCAGAATCTTGTATGTTCTAGCTTTCTAATTGTGTAATTTGCTGAGATCATTTTCTACCATTATTGGAGCAATATATCCTTAAAATCATTTCTTTGAGACCAACTGATGTTTGAACTCCAAATTCAGAACATGCCAGGGACATGGCATTTCCCTTTTTTTCAACTTACAACTTATAAACAATAGAAAGGATTTAGTTTATTTATTTTTTCATTCACTCAATTTATGTCTTTCTTTGAGGTGCATATACTTGTCTATGCTTCTCTTACATTTGTCTTGGTTGTAGTCTGTCTTAAATCATAAGTTCCTATAGGACAGGGACCATGCCTATTTAATTTAGTTTTAACACATCTAACCCAATGCAATGAAAATATGTGAACTTAACACATGAATCTTGATGATGACAGTGATTATAATAACTTATGTTGTTTTTCTTTTGCTTCTCAGTGGCACTTGCCAGTAATTCACACATGCTGACAGGTAAGTTCTGTGTATTTTTTTGTGTACATTTTCATACTTCTTTCAGCCAAAATACTACATAAAGTCATAATGCATAAAATTTAACTGCAGTATTCCTTTACTTTTATTTCATTTTTTTGGCTCTTTTCCATTTATCTGGCAGAATTATATATGAGGCCAAATCTTTAAATTCTTTGCAGTTTTCTCTTTGGATTTACAGCACAAGTCTGTTGATTATTACATATCAGTCACTATTAATATAAGACAAACATTAAAGAAATGGCAAAGGGGCAGTTACAAGAAAAATGCTGCAGAACAATGCATGGTATTTCTCTTCCCACATTCTAACGCAATCCATCACAGCCAAGATCTTCACAATCTGTAGGGATCTCAGAGAATTGTGGGTATTTTTTTCTTTTTTCTTTTTTTTCTTTTCTGATTGTATCTTTTCTGCACAGTTGAAAAACACTTCAGTGTTTTGTTTGTTGGCTTTTTTATCTTAAAGACAGGATCCATGGTACCTGATGAAATGTACAGAGTCACATTTCAATATAAATATGTAATTACTAACAAACACATTTGGTAATACCAAGCCTTCTTATTGGAAACCCACTCCAGTGCTGCTTATTACTTGGCATTTGTAGACTCTCCTACATTACTTTCTAATGGCTTTATATGGGTACTTCAAATGGATTTGAATTTTTAAAAGCAAGTATCACATCATATACATCTCTGATATGCCTACATCATCACATTGTACAGTTCTGGCATACAATGGATGTCAATAATAAATATTAAAAGTACATAGTTGTTGTTACCATTATTATCAATTACTATGGTATCATTACACATTAGCTTATGAAGTTAAGTGTAGGTAGCAAACAAAAGTCAAATTATAAATTCCTAAAAAGAATACATCTTTGGTCATGGATTTTTACTCATACATTTTAATATATTTTGTTTGTCAGTTATGGATCTCAAGGAATTCACTCTCTTATCTTTCCCCACTTCAATGACATTCATCTATTCTCTCATTACTAAAATACTACAGTAGTTCAACTTTGGATAGATTTGCTGCCTGATGCCCTCACCTATGTGAAACAAAGGAGGCAAGTGTATTAAAGAGTTATTAGCAGGTACAGCAGGTATGGCAAAAACCATGCGTTTCATTCATGAAAGGGCACTGCCCACTCAGATATTATTTATTCATTGTTTGCACAAATATAACAACATTAGAACTGCAATAAATTCAAACTAGGGAAGATATATATACTCTGAAAAAAGAAGTGAGGCCTGTTAGCTTTGTAGCAAAAGAAAGGACTCAAAATGAACCTGTATGAAACAGACATAACTGAAAGAGCGGCTTTGTCTTTGTTCATTTTCTAAAAATAGGCTGCACCTTTCAGCTAGTTTCTAAGGCAGCATTGTAGTACATCACAGTTAAATAATTGAAAATTTTTTGTACAGGCTTTGAGTCTACAAGGATAAGTTAAATTATTATAATTTGTATTTCTTTAGTGATGTTGCAGGGAATAAAATACTTTCCCAATCAGACATTCCTACTTTTTAGGCCAATGAGTTCATGAAATTTGACCTAAAAACATTTAAAACAAATATAAGTGATATCCAAACAACTGAAGAAATCCAAGTGTTTCATAGTGAAGAGAGATTTACTAAAAGACGGTGCATCATCTCAGTGGAACATGATGTAATCATTTATGTGATAATTTTGAAAACTATATAAAAACAAGGGCTAATGTTAACAGTGTTAAGTAAATAATGAGTATGGATTCCACATGGACATATGATTGGTTATCATGATGTAAAAGAAGCTTATTTGCCAATAAATATTGGGATGAAACAGCAGCAGCACTGGCAGAGCACAGCAGCCATACGCACAGATCTGGAGCCACATTTCCTGAGTTCTGTTTCCAGGTTTGTTGCTTTTCAGTTGCCTTACCTTGAGCAAATTATGAAACTTATGTCTTTCTGTTTACTCATCTGACAAACAAGGATGGAGTGTTTTCTTCCAATGGCTGTTGTAAGGATTTTTGTTTTTACATGAGATCTTGTATATATTAAATACTAAGAACAATGCCTGGAACATAGTATTACTATGTGTGCTGTTAATTTTTTTAAGTAGTCATGTTATATTGGTGAGAATAAAGGAGAATTTTATGTTGTTTCTAGGTAAAGTAAATTAAAATAAAAGATTGCATCATGTGAGAGAACTCTATTTAAAAAATCGAGGAATTACACAAATAATTCAAAAAGTATTTTTAAAGATAATGATCAAAATGAAATATTTTTGGATTCTGAAAGAGATACAACTCACCTATATGGAAAATTCTACTAATTGATAATTTTCTAAAATATCTGGATAGTCAAGACTTTGTTATTTTTAATTATTTCACTCTTGTTTACAAATTGCCACCATATTGTTCTTTAAATTCATTATTAGTGATATCATGTTTGTTTAGCCTTCGCAGCCAAGTTAAATATTTATTTTTTATTTGCTGATATTATTTAATATAATGCTCTTTTCACACAACAGTGAGAAATAACCGACTAAGTCTCATTGGGCTTTGATGTTGTCTTGTCCACACAAAGAGATTTTTATAGGTAAAAGTTTGACTTTCCATTTGTGAATCCACATACTTCTTTGGTGACTCATTTTGCTTTCCATTCTTAGGTAATATATCAAAGCTCCTTATCTTCCTTTAAGGTCTCTCAGAAGAGACTTTCAGGGGATCCAGAAATTCTTATGAATCAGGTAGAGGATTCCTCTACGGCTAATGTAGTCTATAAAAGATAGAGGCTTCCCTGCTGCTATTACAGTTGCTGAGCAATTCCAGATTAATGACAGTCTCTATACCTGAACAAGTCCCCATAACTAACTTCAGTTGTCTCCAACATTAACATCACCAACAGTTCCTCAATATTGTCCTTGATCAGGTGCTTAAGATACTTCCAATCTACTTCAACAAAAGATGTGGACTGCAGGAATGGATGAACCCAGGACATGGATACTTGCTTCACAAGGGGAAAGTCCTCTATTTGGCTCTTCTTTATTACAAGATCCGTCTTCTACCAGTGTGGCTGTTGGAAAACAGGCTTGTGACCTTTCTTGCTAGTGAACTGCTACATCCTGACCAAGCTTGTTTGCTATTCCTTGGATTAAATTTCCTATACTAAGAGACAGAGGTATGACCTTGGCAGTTGCTGAAAGACACATGAATAGCTGGAGCACTGATTCTAGGCTATGGCCCGACGTGTAATTCCACGTAGTTCAGCCCAAGACACCAGCTAAATTCTGGTTCTATGTTCGTATTTGGGGCCAAAGAAATAGCAGGTGATAAAAGGTCATTCCTTTAACTGGTGTTCTTATTTTTATACTTCGCTTAGACTTGACTGCGTCAGGAAAGTATTGAGGACTTCAGGTTCCATTTCTCAACTTACTACCCCATAGCTTAAGGGAAGCATTTTACAGGTTCATAGCACCTAGTATTTTTCTCATTGCTGTACCAGCAAAAACTGATTCCAAATAACACTTGATTTTGGGTTATGCTCAGTAATGATCTGAACCAGAAAAACCTGGCCAACACTTGATTTCTGTGATTAGCTTGTAGAATCCAATTACCTAAATCACCTAGGAACATCTTCTTTGAAAGATTAATAATATAGATTATGGTTGGGCATGGTGGCTCACACCTATAATCCCAGCACTTTGGGAGGCCGAGGCAGGTGGAGGTCAGGAGATAGAGACCATCCTGGCTAACATGGTGAAACCCTGTCTCTACTAAAAATACAAAAAAATTAGCTGGGCGTGGTGGTGGGTGCCTGTAGTCCCAGCTACTCAGGAGGCTGAGGCAGGAGAATGGTGTGAGCCCGGGAGGCGGAGCTTGCAGTGAGCTGAGATTGCACCACTGCATTCTAGCCTGGGTGACAGAGCAAGAATCCGTCTCAAAAAAAAAAAAAAAAAAAAAAAAAAAAAAAAAAAAAAAATCAAGTTTTATAGCAATGTCATGACAACACAGGCAATAGTGGGTCAAAATTTAAAAAACATTTTCTTTTATCTTTTAAAAATTTGTTTGCTTGCTTACATGTTTCCAGAGCCTACTGTATCATATAGGTGCTCACCTAGAGCCACCAGGGTTCTACAGGCTATAGCTTAAGGAAAGACTCTCACCTAAAGCTGTAGTAGACACTAAATCAGAAAAGTGAACAAAGCTAAGTGCTGAATGAAAAGTCAATATACCATCAGCCACTGAGATGATTCTGAATGGGCCCACCAAAATTAAAATGTTAATGGGTTTGAGGCCAGAATCTAGGAATATGATTTGTGAGGGTAAGAGCAGCAGGTTGAATCCCAGAAGACTGAGATATTTGTTTGACATAGAGGTTGTTAGCTGCTGGATTTTAACGCCTGCGGAAGCATGATACACAAGTGAGTGAGTCTTCCATGTTTACAGGACCATAGATAGATAAGTTACCATTATTCTTTAATTTCTAGACCAGTTCTTCCACTTTCATGGATATGAGTGTGGATGTTTGTATGTATGTGTGTGTGAATGGTATTTTGGTGGACAAGATAAAAAGTCAAATTCTTTTTGAGGACAAGCAGACTACACTTAATATTTGCACTGATCTTTTCCGTTTACTTGAGCACCATTTAGTAAATTTAGTCTTTCTGTGTTTAATGGGGTTCTTGAGTTTCTCAAAATGCCTACTCACAAGATGTAGTTCACTGGAAAATGTTCCTGTAAAAAAATCTGAGAAAAGTACTTGAGATTGTGCCCCAAATCTATGGAGAGTCACCTGTAGTTGGTGTCTTCTTATATTGAAATTATTCTACCCCAAACTGATTATTTTTTATAGATTTATTCACTTTTCCCCTTATAACAAGAGAATAAGGACATAGACTTATAATAGTATTAAGAAATGGCTATTTGAATCATTCTATTATAAAGACACCTGTATATGTATATTTATTGCAGCACTATTTACAATAGCACAATAGCAAAGACATAGAATCAACCTAAATGCCCATTAATGATAGACTGGATAAAGAAAATGTGGTACATATACAACACAGAATACTATGCAGCCATAAAAAGGAACAGGATCATATCCTTTGCAGGGACATGGGTGGAGCTGGAGGCCATTATTCTTAGTGAACTAACACAGGAACAGAAAACCAAATACCACATGTTCTCACTTATAAGTGGGAGCTAAGTGATGAGAACACATGGACACATAGAAGGGAACAACACACACTGGGGCCTATCGGAGGCTGGAGGTGGGGAGGAGGGAGGGGAATTAGGAAAAATAACTCATGGGTACTAGGCTTAATATCTGAGTGATGAAACAATCTGCACAACAAATCACTATGATTCAAGTTTACCTATATAACAAACCTGCACTTATATCCTTGAACTTAAAAGTTAAAAAAAAGAAACAGCTATTTGAATACTATGTATTCTCAATAAAAAACAATTTTTACCACACTTAGGTGTCCTTATTGTGTGAGTGGTCTAGCATTGTATGGTGCCTTGTCAAAGCCACCACTGACAGCTGGTTACCATTCAGTTGCTAGTGCTGGTGGCCAGTTATTTTCAATTTGGCTTCACACCGGTAGTGACTATCATCTGCTTAGTGATGGAGTGATGTGTAGGTTCAGGTCTTTATAGTTGAAATGACCTCGAATTCACTTTAGGAGAGGGATCTAGGCCTGTATGGGAGCTTCTTCAAAGCTGACCTGAATGCTTTCAAAAGACTACAAGCCGTAATGATTTTCTGGTTTTCACAGAGTCTGGACATCCTATGGAATATTTCCTGTCCACGCAGGCCTCAGAGGACTTGGTTGCCTTATTGTCTAAGTAGCAACAGAAGGGCCATTATCAATAGCTTGGGACAAGTAGATAAGTGCTTTCAATAGATTTTTGCCAAGGGAGGCAGTCTTTGCTGAGAATTATATTTACATAAGATGTGTCTATTGGAGATGTGAAGCACAAATATTTGCTGTGCGTTTAACTCACACTTCCACCAGGAATCAGCTAGAAATTGGAAGTTGACTTTTGGAATGTATTCTATCTACTGCCAAGTCACAAGGTGGTGTTTGAAAGTTCAGGAGGTAAAAGGCCCAAATGGTAGCAAAAGTAAGAAAAACATCATCTATCCTGATTGAGGAACTGGCCAAGCTCAAGTAATTATATATAGCTTCTTTTTCGCTCATATTTATTTCTTCCATATTTATAGTTCCTAGAAGTTAGAATACTTACTTGTATTCCACTGTCTTTTTTCTTCTTTTAAGACAAAGAAGTAATTTATTTTGGAAACCCAGTGGTCTTTAGTATCATCTTAATGTATATTTGAGTAAATTTTAGAGTAGGAAGAATAAATGAAATGCAGTATTTACATTTAGCTAATTTTCTTCCCTTGTTAGAAAGCCACTATTTTGCAGAAAGAGAAATACGTTAAAAATGTATGTATTTTAACTATAAAAATCAATTGTCATAAATTGTATATATAGCAAATCACATGGGAAGTCTTTATTTCCTAATTTAAAAAAGCTGCCTCAAAGAAATGTTTCAGCACACAGAGGCACATGGGCCGCTTGGCAGACAGCCTAATTGAAACCAAGGGCCCAGAGAAGAGCTCAACTCTGCATCTGCCGACCAGAACTGGCTGCGCTACACTTTGAACCAGTGCTGATGGCTTTGTACACAAAGATCAAAATGAGTTTGTTTTATTCAGCCGGGTTGTGGAGGTGCACGTATTTTGGCTTCTGGATGCAATAAAGCATTGAGCTCTCAGATAAACAAACTATAAATCTAATCAAGTCTGGGCACAATGATAAGTAGATTGCTTATATGGGGGTGGGAGAAGAGAAGGGGTGGGGGGAGGAGAGAGAGAGAGAGAGAGAGACTCTCACAGGATAAAATAGCCCATTCTCATTTTATGCAGTGGAATGCTGAGCATGAATCTTGGTATGTCGCCAGTTTTAAAAACTGTTTCTTCTTTTCCTTCTCCCTCTCCTCCTCCTCCTCCTCTCTTTTCTTCTCCTTATGTGGCAGAGAGACTACAGACGTATTCTCAACTAAAGAGCTGTCTTGAGAGCTACATCAGGCTCCTTGAATGGAAGCAGGTGAAGTATTGTAAAATATTTCTTCTTACGTATGTTTGAGGACTGAAATATTTCCATCTCTGTTTCTCTACCAAATAATGCAATACAGGCAAACAATATGTAAACGGTGTGTTCCTTATGTGGAATTTGTAGCCAACAATATCACCATCGTGTGCCCCTTATTTGTCCCCAGTTACATGCTGGGAATAGAACAGAAGAACGATGAATGCCCTGTCTTAAACATGTTTAGATGTGATGACTCCTAAGCATGGCTGAGAGTTTCAGCTACGATGAACAAATGGAAAGGGATCATAGACTTATTTCTGTATTTGGATGCTTTGGCCCACCGTACAACTTCAAGGATTGTTGGAATCAGTCCATCTCCCTGCTTTACTAAGTAGCTGCCAGATAAAGCTCTAAATATGATAAAATATGTGTCCATTAGGAGTGACTGAATTCCACAACTAGACTTTACCTGAAATTGAAATGATAAAGTTTTCATTTAAAGTAAATACACAAGTTGACAGGTTTAGAAACTGCCCAATAAATAATAACAGTAATTTTGAAATTTCCTCCAGAAACAGGAGTTCTAGCTGTGTGATAAAAGAGTGAATTTCTTAAAAATAAAGACCCATAACCTGAATCTCTAGTTAGATACTTACAGCATGGTTAATTGCTTTTAAAAAATCCTTTTTATTGAGATATAATTCACTTACCAAAAAATTCATGCTTTTACCATATATAATTTAACTAGTACATAGTATATTCACTATATATAGTAGTATATAGAATATTCATTAAATAGTATGCAGCATATGTACAACCATCAGTTCAATCTATTTCTAGAACATTTTCAACACCTCCCCCCCAAATAAATGCTGTATCCATTAGTAGTGTTTTATGGGAATTACTGCTGGAAATGTCAGGGAACTTGTACTTTCTCTCTAACTTCTAATTTGAATAAACTTTCGTTTGTAGCCCTGAAAAATCAACTTAGATTTTTTTCATCTCCAATTTCCATGCTACTAAGATTCTTTTCTATAGATAACCAAAATATTTCAAGTATGTAGTGAAATGTAGTGTAGTTTAAAGAGTTCGGCACTAAACTGGATAGCTTATTGTGTTAATGACCTAAGTCCCTTAAAGTCTCAATACTTTATTCTTACTAGAGTGAGATAAATAGGTCACTGCTGGGGACTGCGTTGTCCTGAGTGTCATGCCAGCAGTCATATTTCTTGTTCAAAACATATATAGAAAGTTCAATCATAATACCTATAATGATATTAATAATAATGAGAAAAAAGAGGAAGAAGGAAAGAAGTAGGAGGAAGAAAAAAATTTATATAATAGACTGATCACCCTACTGTATTAAGAATTTTCATATACTTCTCATTTATTAACTTGTCTATCCTCAATGCAACTCTTGCACATAATTAGCATAACATAGCATTAAGCATAACTTGGTTCCAACCAGCAGAAAGCAACTCAGCTTCTCTCCAGAAATACAAGGAATCTTATTGAGAATATATCTAGAGGTTCCAGACTCAATGGGAGGCTATAGGACCAGCTAGATGCAACTGAAGAAGGTTTGTCAGCTAGAAGCAACCAAAGAAGCTACTGAAGACTCAGTGACAGTATCTATATCAGTACTCATGCCCCAAGTATAATATGGAAGCTATGCCACTGCTACTACTGCTGCTGTGATGAATATGACCTCTTGTTTTCCTGATACCATTACATCAATTGCTTAAGATTCAACAACTAAGAAACAAGCACCTGATTTGCTGAACTTGTATCAGGGTCCATTCTGTGACTGAGTAAGTGAGGAAAAAGTCTGTTTGGCTTCTGTCATGGTTAATTTTATGTGTTCGCTTGTCTGGGCCCAGGTGCCCAGATATTTGGACAAACATTATTCTGAATATTTCACTGAAGAAGTGTTTTGTATGAGATTAACATGAAAATCAGTGTATATTGAGTAAAGACAATTAATCTCCATAATATGGGTGGGCCACATCCCATCAGTTGAAGGACTTTCACAGAACAAAGTCTGACCCCTACCCAGAGCTAAAGAGATTTCAGTTGGAAGATTGCCCTTGGACTGCAATTCTTCCCTGAAACTCTAGCCTGTAGGCCTGCTCCAGTAGATTTTGGACTCTAAGCCTCTATGGTCAAGTGAGCCATTTTCTTAAAATAAATTTCCTTTTATATACATACATCCTATTGGTTCTATTTCTCTGGAAAACACTGAATAATACAGCTTCTTTTGTAGGAGGTGGCTAATATCTCCAAAGGTTTCTGAAAAACTATCAATTTCTCAAATTAAATTGGGTTACTAATAGTAAGGGGCTCAATGAGGAACAGTCAGAAAGCTAAAGATGTTCATTACACATAATAATATACAAAGATAGTGTTGAAGTTCTGACGGGGAAGGGCACATTAAAGATATGAAGCTAATCTGGAAAGAAGTCACAGGATGCTTCCTAAAGGAAGAGACAGAGGGAGAGACATGAACTGGAGTGGAAGAAGGAAGGTATTCTAATTCAGGGGAATAAAAGTGGACACAGTCTCTCACTGAGGCAAAAATACAACAGCATGTGAAGGAGATGATGTTGTGCCAGACCCTTCAGCAGCCTGAAAGCCTCTGCTTTCTGTCTCTTGCAAGCCAGCTGCCATGTAAGAACTGCAACAAACTCAATGCTGTGAGAAGTCCAAACCACAGGGAAAGGTGTTGGGGGCGGGGGGAGTGGGGAGTGGAGGGAGAGAGAGAGAGAGAGAGAGAGAGAGAGAGAGAATGAGAGAGAGAGAGAGAGATGGGGGAGAATGCACACAAAGAGCACCTATGTGCAATACATGTGAGTGAAGAAACCTTTTAAGAAGTTGCTCCCCAGCTGCCCTAGCAATCCAAGTTGATGTCAAAGATTAAAGATGAATCACCAAGTTGAGCCCTTCTTGGACACCTTAGCTCCAAATCATAAGTCAAATAAAATGGTAGTTTTATGCTATTAAGTGGGTTTAGAGATGCATTTATCAATGCAGGAGTAAATTCCTGGCACATATATCATCTATTAATATTTGATGTATGAATGGTCACAGAAAAAATATCCCAGATGTTAGTGAAGGAAACAAATGATCAGAGAGATAGGATTAAACTAGAAAACACATTGCCACTGAAGTCCAAGATATTATTGAATGGGATGGTGGGAACAATATATTCAACAGAGAGAATAGTGATGCAATGAAAATGATTAATTTTGTTGAGGTCCATACTGATCTCATATAGAACAATTTTTATGAGTGAAGAGCAAAACAAAAATTGAGCCAGAATAAGATTTGTTTTTGGCAAATTAATAATATATGATATTTTCAAAATATTATGGTACTTTAGACTATTAACAATTATGAGCAAGTTCAAAGAAAGATAACTTACTGCTTATTTTACCAGCGTGAGTTTATTTTGTAAAGGATATGATTTATAAATAAAATGTATATATCAATTTATTTGAGAAGCAATAAAATATATGTATAAATTTATCGTACAAATTTCAATTTATAGAACTTACAACCACACAAAAGCAATGAAGCTGTCTTAATGAAAATAAAAATTTGAAATGTGACCTTACAAGTAATGGTTACTATCTAATATCAAGTCTCAGCAGTCCACTGATTTGAATAATTTGTTTTGGATGCACAATATTGAGGTGCTCCGTGGTGCTTCCTTCATTCAACCACTGTTACAAGAGTGAATATGCATACACCTAAAAAGAAGGGTATAAAGTTATAAACTTCCTAGTGAATACCACATTTGTAAGAGTTTCAAAATATAGGTAGAGATGGCATAAGAAGCTTTATTCCAATATCCTCAAAAAGTTAACCTAGGAGTTAAGATGAGTATCACAGTCTCTCCAGTGTGTTAAAATATACTGTATATTGTATCATATATTTTTTTACTTTTTAAAATAGTCCAAACTTGTTTAGAAATTATATTTCTATAAACATTTGTGTGACTCTGGAAGCTTCTCTGTAGAACACTTGTAAAACTACTGGTTTAGATTAAACAAAAGGAAATCTTCAAGGCACTTTGCTTTCAGCATACTATTTTAAATATAAAGCAATTTCATCTGCGTATACAAATTATATTCTCCATGCTCTAATCTGGTTTTATTTTATCTTTAATTGCAATTTTACCAAATTTCAAATAAAAGTGTTCTTTAAATTTTTTAATATAAAACTTCTCATGAAAAGTAGTAATTTATTTCTGTATTATCTGCTTTTTAGAACTTTTTGCCCTTTTTTGTATAAAGATCTTGATGACAGGCTGTATGGCTCACTAAATTCCACCCAATACCATGCAAGGACAATGGGATAGTCTTTCAGTTTGCTTATATTATTAGCTATTATGTCAGTATTAAAGATATCAGAAAGCATTTTAGCCTCATAGATGAGGCAGACAGCAACTAAATAAGTACTGTCACACCTGTTAGTCTCAATCAAGACTTTGGGTATCGCTAGCAAAGAAGCATGTTGGGGCATGAGTAGAGGCTCAGCCGTGTCTACTTCAAGGTTGGAATTGCCCTAACCCTGCAAATAGCTTGTAATATGGACACCTCTGTTTTGGATACAAGAGGAAGAGAACTATTCTGATGTTACAGTTTATGAAATGTAACACCATTGTCTGGTTCTGTTATTAAGTGCAGTTGTTCACACCTAACCACATATTTATCATCTTGCATTGTTATCTCAAGATATTTATTCTCTAATGAATCTCTAATAGCTTTATGCAGGAGGTCTTGTCTCCCCTATTTAGCTGTAAGCTCTTTGAAGACAATGGGCAGTGTCTCATAATTTTACTTGCCACTGTACACAGTAGTTTGGGTCACACAGTAGGCAGGCAATAAAGGTTGATTAACTACTTAATATAATACTTATGAACCTCCCCTCTCATGTCAGTGGCCATGCTAGGTACTATGTGCACAATAGTGAATATGGTTCTGTTCCCTTCAAGAATTGCAAAAGCAAAAAGG